CCCCCCTTTCATGAGTGACCTAGACGCGCAGCACTGACGTCCATATCTTTTGCGTAGTCGTTGACATCCTCCTACTCCATCCTCACGCCTAGCGAGACTGCGCACCGCCTCTCAACCTCCCTAACCCATGGGCTCTCGCCAGCAGGGGCATCCGCAAGGATTCACCAGTATGGCACAAACGAACTCCCCCACGAAGACCCGGAGCCTCTGTGGCTGCGCTTCCTCAAGCAGTTTAAGGAGACACTCATTCTGCTTCTCCTCGGGTCTGCTGCTGTATCCTTTCTCATGGGAAATCTGGAAGACGCCATCAGCATAACTGCTGCCGTCACAATCGTCGTCTCGGTGGGCTTCGTCCAGGAATATAGATCAGAAAAGTCTTTGGAAGCTTTGAGCCAGCTTGTCCCTCACTCTGCCCATGTCATCCGAGGTGGAACCACACATGCGCGAGAACATGCAATTGCAGACAATGGTCCTGTCGCTATAGAGTTAGAAGATGTGAAAGACAATGCTGTTTCGCTGGAAGCCGCAGAACGAACATCAACAACCCTCTCTGCTACCCTACTAGTGCCCGGCGACCTCGTCCTGTTCCACACCGGAGACCGGATCCCAGCTGACATTCGCATTACCCACGCGGCAGACCTCTCGATTGACGAGTCGAATTTGACCGGCGAGAACGAACCTGTGACGAAAGCACCAGATACCATTTCCTCCCCTTCGTCCTCTATGGGCCAATCTCGCCCACATTCTCCTTTCTACGCATCACCTGCAGCAGGCACTGTAGGAACGGATATTCGCCTCAATGATCAAACCAACATCGCATTCATGGGTACGCTTGTGCGTTCTGGCTACGGACAGGGTGTTGTTATTGGCACAGGAGCAAACACTGAATTCGGAGCTATATCCGCTTCTCTCCAGGAGATCGAAAGCCCTCGCACGCCCCTACAACTCTCAATGGATAGGCTTGGTAAAGAGCTAAGCTATATGTCCTTCGGTGTAATCGGCTTCATCATGCTTCTCGGGCTGTGGCGTGGCTGGGAATTTTTAGAGATGTTTCAAATCGGGGTATCGCTTGCTGTAGCTGCGATCCCGGAAGGACTGCCCATCATCGTTACGGTGACCCTGGCCTTGGGCGTTTTGCGGATGTCCAAGAGAGATGCCATTGTCCGGCGACTTCCCAGCGTGGAAACTTTGGGGTCAGTGAACGTAGTGTGTAGTGACAAGACTGGTACGTGCAAAACCTTCCGATGTTAGAGGAGAGCGGTTTCGACACAGGAGGCTAACCAGGCCCCGAAGGCACTTTGACAACCAACCACATGACTGTCACCAAATTATGGCACTTCGACGAGCCTGCGCCAGTCGACGTCGTCAAGAAACATGGCTCTGCCACTCTCGACCCTGCGACACGTATTATCCTACGTGTAGGCAACATTGTAAACAACGCGCGTCTTCTCGGAGCTCACGCAGATTCCCATGCGACCGCATCTTCTGCAGCTGTTTTGTCGTCTACCATGGGAGACGATTCCTCCATCTCCAAAAGCCGTTGGGTAGGCCAACCTACAGACGTCGCTCTGTTGGATCTGTTAGACGCGTTTGGTGAAGACGATGTTAGGGAAAGAATCGGTAGTCGCCGCAATGAGACGCCTTTCAGCTCGGAGCGAAAATGGATGGGTGTGGTTATACAAGGCAGCTTAGGAACAGAACTTAACGCTGGGTCAGATGTCGCTTACATCAAAGGCGCTCTCGAGAAAGTGCTGGATCGATGTGATACGTATATCACCGCACAAGGCCGAGAGGTTATTCTCGACGATCCTAGACGACAAGAAGCATTGAATGCTGCAGAAGCCATGGCGCAGGATGGACTTAGAGTTCTTGGTTTCGCGAGCGGATCATCGCGCGAAGGGCGCAAATCTGGACTACAGACGCCGCATAGGAACCAAGGTGGCAGCGCCTCGCCGGGTCATGCGTCCGAACGAAGTCCAAAACATGTCACAAACCCACATGACGACGAAGCTTTCTGTGGATTAGCGTTTGCTGGCCTAGTGGGTATGAATGACCCTCCACGCAAGGGTGTGGACAGGTCAATTCGGCGGCTCATGGCGGGACGAGTCAAGGTTATCATGATCACCGGGGATGCGGAGACCACCGCAGTAGCAATTGGGAGGAAGCTGGGCATGCCAATCACGATGAATTCTGCCATTGGCCGCTCTGTAATAAATGGAGACGAACTGGACCGAATGAGTGAGGAAGAACTCTCGCACGCAATTGCCACAACATCGATTTTTGCGCGAACGAGCCCGGAACACAAACTAAAAATTGTTCGCGCGCTCCAGTCACGCGGAGACGTAGTCGCCATGACTGGGGACGGAGTCAACGATGCACCGGCATTGAAGAAAGCCGATATTGGGATCTCTATGGGTCGATTAGGAACGGATGTTGCGAAAGAAGCAGCGGATATGATCTTGACCGACGACGATTTCTCAACGATTTTGAGTGCCATCGAAGAAGGGAAAGGCATCTTTTACAACATTCAGAACTTCTTAACCTTCCAGCTGAGCACCAGTGCGGCTGCCCTCAGCCTAGTACTTCTCAGTACTTTCCTTGGATTCCAGAACCCCCTGAACGCCATGCAAATCTTGTGGATAAGTAAGCAGACACGTCGTCCACCCATCCAGTTATAAAGAGCTAACATTCACTAGATATTCTCATGGACGGCCCTCCTGCACAATCTCTAGGAGTAGAGCCAGTAGATCCGGCAGTGATGACTCGTCCACCTCGCGCCAGAAACGCTCGCGTATTGACCCGACCTCTTCTTCAACGAGTCCTACAATCAGCGTCGATCATCATGCTCGGCACCCTGATGATATACTACCGCGAGATGACTTCGGATGGCGAAGTCACTGCTCGCGACACCACTATGACCTTTACCTGCTTCGTCTTATTCGATATGTTCAACGCCCTGACGTGCCGCTCCGAAGGCAAATCAGTCCTGACTGGCGAAATTGGGCTTTTCTCCAACAAAATGTTTAACTATGCCGTAGCAGGCAGCCTTCTTGGACAATTGGCTGTGGTTTACCTGCCTTTATTGCAGAGTATATTCCAAACAGAAGCTCTCAGCTTCTTGGACCTTATTCATCTTTTAGCAGTGGCTAGCTGCGTGTTCTGGGCAGATGAAGCTAGAAAATACTATCATCGCTGGAAACGGGGCCGTGGATTAGCTGGGTATAGCGGTAGTGTATGATACGTGTTAATTGAGGTCACAGCCTTTATAGACTTTGCAAGGTATGCGAATAGCTGTAGGGATACATTCAAACTGGATGAGGTTTCCCTTCCTTGATCATCTCTCTGCGTGTCTAATTTTCAATTAACGAACTCTATAACTGAAAACAATTTCTAATCGTTATCACTCACACCAAATCTGCAGGCAAAAGGTCAGGGAAGTATCCATTTCCCGCCCTAAAGCACGGTTATCTGTGTTGATAGCAGGCTAAGCCTAGCTATCCTTCATGGTAGTATCTACGTTCTCTTCTTGTCGCATCAGGTACCCCATGATACCCCAAAGTCCTCGCATAAGTTCTATCCTGTCCTCAACAACGAAGAAGTCATACCACCGCGTGCGGTGTAATACGGGCGAAGCCCATTGTTCATCTTTCGGTAGATTGCGCGGTAAAACGCCATCCGTCAAAAATTGGACATAGAGCGGGTGGACGCGCAGCTTGAGAATGCTGACATGATGGTTGAGTGACGAAACCATGTAGACCTGGTCTCCGATCAGTACACGCCCAGTGGCTTTTTTTCATATCAACAAGCACACTCACTTCATCCCACTCCGCATCAGAGCTCTTCCCAACGGCTTGATATTCGACTTTGGGGTCCCAGAAGCCATTGCCAGGCTTCAGAACCTTCCAAATCTCCGCAGCTGACATTCGCCGCCTTTCTCTCCCGCCCAGTCTTGTTCGCACAGGCTTCTCCTCCTTCTCCTTCTCCTTCTCTACTGGCACATCGCTTCCCCCTGACGCTTCTCCAACTTCACCCCCTAGGCCTCCACCCCATCGAGGCCGAGTAACCCACCACTTACCATCCCCAGGCTTCCGCTCCGTCTTACCTTCTCTTGTCCGCTCTTGAGATAACAGCAACAGCCCCCCAAGCTCTCTAACTACGTCTAGCACCGATTCTGCTTCCAATGACCCACCACTTCCAAACTCCGTCTCCGCTCTACACTGAACCCCCAGCACAGGCCCCTCCAACCAGCCCGCACGCGCTCTCGTCCTATCTGCCGGCGCCCTCCAAGCCACAGTACTCATGCGCACGGGGAAGCGAACACTCTCCAGAGCCAACGCGGGTGGGCGTCGATGCGGCACAAGCGTGAGGCCAAACGCCCACGCAATGGGCTCCAGAAAGCCTCGCACGGTGTCCAGGCGATAGGCATCTGGCATCTCGGCGCCGTTGCCTAGCCGGCTGCCGCGGTACGTGCCCGGGATTTTTTCAGCTGGCTCTGGAGCCGCGGCACCGGGGACTTTGGGGGGCTGAGTGCGGGCGGGGAGGGAGAGGCTGGAGCTGGAATATATAGTGGCTGGCGGGGTGGGTTTGGAGTAGGGTTTTGGCTCGGGCTTGGTCTCGGGAGTGGGTAATGGGGACTCCTTAGGTGATTCTATCACGGTCTTTGCTTTCTTTCGCGGTTCTTCGACGTTCATGGCTTCGATCTCGGCTTGGAGGCCACGGTCGTTGGCTGGGGCTTCTTTGGAAGGACTGTCGGAGTCTTCGGGGTCTTCGTGAGCAGCTTCTGGTGCTGGTGGGATATATTCGTCCAGGGAGGTGTCCCAGTAGTAGGCCATGTTGTCTAGGCCTTCCCAGAACCGGCGGAAATGAGCAAGGCGAGGCGCTGGTTGATTCAGTTTGGGGGTCCTGGTTAATACCGAGAAGGCATCTTCGTTGGTGCAATAGAGCTCCTTGGCTCGGATGTAGAAGTCCTTGCGGTCAAGAGGCTTCCTGCCATTGCTGAGCACTCGATTTGGAGGGTCCACTTCGACGCCCTCTTGGAGTGGCTCCAACCAGGATGTGGGAGGCAAAAATGATAATCCGTTCGGTGAAGTAGATAGGAGCGATTCAAAGTCCCCTGGATGTTCGCACGTGACATTTAGGAGAGCCAAGTGCTCGGCGGTCACATCAGAGGGCTTCCTGATAGCGACGAAGCGTGCAGTTAGATCGGAGGAATCGCCTGTGGTCCATTTCGGAGGCTCCCGGGACACGGACGGCTCAGGCAGAAAGGAGGGAAAGACGACAGGCGTGGGCTTCGAGGGCGGCGTGCGCTCTTTGGTAGCATCATGTCGGCCAGCGAGAAACGAGCCTGAGGCATCAATCAGTATAGACTACGAAAGAGGTTCCGTGAGACAGGCTGATGAGCAGCGCTGGCCCCAGGGATACCTTGATAGCATGCCTCGCCCGGTTGGAGGAGCCGGCAGAGGCTCAAGGAGATGATCTAGATTGTCGGCCTCTGGCGGGGGCGCCATATGTCGAGCACGGGCCTTTGGGACGGCGAGAGTGATGTTCTGGAGATGACAGAGCGAGCAAAGACGCACTTACTGCTGCTGAAGCCAAACATGACGCTCTGCGGTGGATAATTGCACGCTCTCGAGGTGGATCTCCGTATTTACAGAGGACAACTGTGCCGCACGACGCAGCCGCCGAGATCTAGCGAGGCAGCATGTTCCCAGACCGTGTCGAGCTGCAGCGCTAGAATACGGCATACTGCATTGGGGTTTTTATTCGCACTGGAGAACAGCATCACTGACGTGTATTATTAGGGACCTTGGTTATGTAAAGACACTCTATGAACGGAACCGATGAACAGAAAATACAGAGCTGGGTCAGGCTTCCCAAAGGGCCTCAAGCTATGCTCTTCCGAAGCGTTCTGGTAGTGTGAGCACTAGAGGCCTGTCATACTCAGCTGTCGCATCCCGTAAAGCACCTATAGCAGGAGTATCCAGCAAATCCCAATCCCACCACCGCCTTCTACCCAATAATCGCTTCATACGTGCCGCCCTAGCGTTAGAGCTCCGGCCCGAACCCGAGCCCGCGTGGCAGCCTCACACCGTGGTTGCTCTCTGTCCCAAGCACGCTGGAACGTCGTGTGTTGTGACCTTTGCATACCGAGCATCCGCAGTGCATTCTACCATGCCCTAGCGGCAGACCTGCGAAGTACAAGCTCCTCTTGCAGCTATTTGAGATTCGAGATATGTGAAATTCGACGCAATTGGCTCCCGGCACTCCCTCCAGACGCCCGCAATCGCCGGCGCCTACCTCTGCGCTCCCACTCCATCTCCCATCCCATCTCGCTCATCTCGGGTCCCTCTGGGCCGAGACGACAATGCCACTGCCCACCACCGTGGCCCGTCGCTCTAGCAAGGCAACAATGCTTGCTGCGCGTCAGTTGTGTAGGAAATCAGTCGAGCGAAGCCTCTGGGCTGAGACATGCTGAGCGCCAGAGGCCGCGACAATGAAGCTACCCCCGTTTCAGAAATCCACCACCAAGTCATCATATGCCAGCGGCTTGCAGCCATCCGGCCAAACTTGGAACTGCTACTAGCCACATGCTACTCGCCCAAACGCGAGACGGTGGCTTCTAATATCGCCCCTCCCCTCGGCCTGTTGTTGAGCTCTTCTGCCCCGTTTTCGGCGTATCTGTTTGTCTATCCACTCCTCATGAACACCAGACATTGGTAAGTCAGCTTTAATAAGTGGCATATCGAGCGGTTAGCTGGAAGCTCCCACAAAATACTAACTGCTTACTATCAGTCCTACTTCTTGCACTGCATGGCCACTCCATCAGTACTCACGACGACCGTGAGCGGGAAGGTCTGCACTAGATCTCGCAGAATATTGCCGCCTTCCACTGCACTCTCTACGTCCGTTGTCCTATCTACCACAGCCGTGTCCGAGTCATCTTCTGTCCAAGTCTCTTCCGCCATTGCATCCTTGTCAAACGACCAGATATCATCGAGCACTGTGCTCGAGTCTTCTCAGTCGTCTGAAAATGCGCCTCTCCCGCCGGCCGCGGCGCCAACCACAGCAGACAGCCAAGGGGCCTCCAGCACAGGGAAAGCATCCACAGAAACATCAACAGAAGCGTCTTCTTTCGTATCGTCACCATTTCCATCGTCATCAAATGCAGGTACGCTGAGCTCTGCGTCTTTGGCTTCCTCCCCGGCATCCTCGCTTCCTTTGCCGTCTCTCAGCGTTCCTCCAATTGCTTTTCTCTCCGTGGCTGCAACACCGAGCGAGTTATCTTTACCTTCATCACCCTCCCAGATTCCTACGACAGAAAAGTCTGACACGACTGACCCAGTTATCGTTTCCACATCATCATTCCCATCGTCCACTCCGTCAGCTAGTCAAGCGGAATCAACTGTCATTCCGACGTCAGGATCTGCGGGATTGATATCGCCATTTCGAGGCTCTGGAGGTTCAGACTCGGGAAACGCGACTGCCGGAAATACCTCGAAAACCGAAGTGGGCGCTCTAGTAGGAGGCATATTCGGGGGTATTATAGGTGTAGCTCTAGTGGGGGGCCTTATATTTGTGTGCCTGCGGAGGAGGCAGACGAGAGAAAAGCTTGAAGCATGGAATCAACGCATCAATGAGAAGCGCCGACCAGGAGAACACCAAGACTCGGATCGGGAACCGGTGTCCACTTTTGACAGAACGAAAGCATTACTGGCCGGCGCTGGTTTGACGGTGACTGCGTTAATGAGTAAAATCACTTCGAGGAAGCCACCTCCCCAAAATGAAGGTAGCAGAAACAACGTTCGCGATAGCGTCAGCTCGATATACTCGCAAAACACCTTAGCACGAAGCCGGTCGAGGAGTGAACCAGCCTCACGGCTCAGACAGCAATTTCAAGGCCTCTCAAGCCGCCTGAAAAACTCAAAGGGAACCGCCCCGAGACTGGATTCTACAAACAAGTCTCCATTTTCGGACGCTGTGGACGATCAAATGGTACGAAATAGTAACAGCAACAACCCTTTTCTCGATCCTGAAGATACCCGAGAACTCACCTTGTCAAATCTTCGAGTTATGAATCTCGATGCTTCTCATCCAAGTACAGGGATGCTCACGCCGCGCCAGGCAATTGCTGCTGGCCTTGCTGGGCAGCAACGTGCACCCATCACACCCACTATCTTAGAGCGTCCGCCTCCTGCCGAGACAGAAAATCCATTCCTTTCGCCTTTCGATGACCTTGCAAGTCGCAACCAGGTCTCCACGCCTGATTGGCTTCGTCGCCCGTCGCACTCGCGCACCCAAAGCGCTCAAACTGCATTGCGGTCCCATCCGCCTTCTTTCGATGGAAAGTCGACATTTCACTATCCCCCACCTATGAATCCTTTTGCGGATCCGGCGCAACCTCCAGTGCCTGGTCTTCAGCTCAACTATCATCCCAATAACTATACGCCGCAACCCCCCTCAAATACTTATACACCTGGTCCGGGCCCATATCCCGCATCGACTTCTTCCCACAGCTCACAGGTTCTTCCCCGAACTTACAACCCACGAATCTCATCATCGACGACATCAGATCCTTTCCTGTTTGGCGAGCCTGGCCCCAGTCGTCCAACAACCGTCTTCACCAACGCATCGTTCTCGCGTGCAACGCGTGGAAAGAGTGACCCCTTCGATCTCGACAGACCCGAAGTCTTAGGTTTTGGCGCTGTTGGTAGTCGGCGAGAGGTGCGAGCGAGTGTGACTCGGCAAAACTCACGAAGCAATCGGCGGAGCAGTACGCCAAATTGGGTCACGATGGATGACGAAATGGAATACGGGCCAGACAGGATGAGTACGCTGTCAATGCCTCTACACAAAGCCGCCACGACAGATCCAGGGTTGGCGAGGTAACACCCATGAAATGAGTGTGTGCCATGAGAGATGACAAATGACCGGTTTTTTGGTGTTCTCGGTTATTTGGGGCTTCGTTGTACGATATGGAACGCGCATGAGACGATTAGCATCATAAACCAGGTAATTTGGTATTCACAGCGGTGCATCTTGTTCACACGATCATGTGTAGCCTTACGCAGTTCGACTTAGCTTAGGTATAGAAAAAGCGCTCACTCTAGTCACAGCTAATACTAAGCATATTCCCGTCGATAATCCTATGAATCTACGTAGACATGTTTCCTAGAATTTCATGCAGATAACTGCCACAGAACCTTGTCCTGATTCGGTATGTGCACTTATGACGACACAGTGCACCATATTGACTAACTGACGTTGTTATCAAGTGTACGCCATTATGCATTCTCGTCGCTTCACTAAAGTACAAGGCATGAAACACCCGCCATACTGCGCTAATTTAGATCATATGCAGATCGTAAGATGACGAGGAAGACCCTGAGGTCCTCTGCACTTCCCCGCAAACGCTTTCCTTGTCCATCGCATAGTGGAGTAAGCAGTGTATCTTTGACAATTACATGTATGCCTCCTTGCACTGTGACCACTTTCTTTCTCGTAATCGAATGCCGTAAGAGTCTAGAAACTGAAGATCCAAGATCTTGCTCTCATGGCCTGGTACCAAGAACTGTCCATGATCCAAATCGGCCCCATAGCTGCCCAAAGGTTTCAATGACCTCGACCACGTTCAATTACCTCGACCGCGAGCTCAACTTCTCAGAAGCTTCCGGTCTATCCAAGATATCCTAGTCTGCTGCCAGCATCGTCATATCATCCCCAACCTCCGCAGCTCCGTACCCAACGACCCATGTTGTCTGTGGAAGGACACAACCGCGTCGTCCCACAATACCTGCTCATGGCTGTCGTGAAAGCTGATTGGAGAAGATAGGTTGTCGAGCTGTATGGCCCTCTGGCTGCGCGTGTATGCGCGTCTCGGGAACCATGAGCCCCAGGTGAGCGAGAAGGGAGTCTGGTGGTGAAGCGGACGGATGAACTAGGATTGTCAGCTCGTGCTCAAATTGGCTACAATGAGCTTGGTTCGGTAGTAAATCCGGTGACTTACGTTCAGTCTGCAATCGATCATGCCAGCCGACCACATCAGGGCAAGCAGGAAAGCGGAGAATCCGCTGTACACGATCAAACCCCATCCAGCCACGCTCATCCAGTCGTTTTTGGGCAAGGTGGGCTTTGGAAGTGAGTCGGCAGGCGCCGGTTGGAGGGTAGCATTGTCAGTGGTGGTTACGCGTATGACGATGCGAGTGGATGTATGCGTCTGGGTTGGCGTGCATGACCACGTTTCGAACTTCGTGGTTTGGTTGAGGGCTTGGCCGCTTAGCGTCGAGATCGGAGAAAATGTAGTGAGCGATTCGTATGCAGCAGGCCAGGTTGTGGTGAAGGGCGTAATGGTAGCCGTGGCGTATGTGGAGACTCCCAGCGATAGAGATAGGGGTGCCATATTCAGCTTATTGAGAGGCGTTGGTCGTTATTGACAGGCTTGGCGGAGGTCGTTGAAGTTATAGAAGTAACTGAAAGTGGGGCGCTAGGCTGAGTTGGGGTCTGGAAAGTGAAGGTGGAGAAATAGGAGTGAGCTTTGGGACCGTCCCACGTGATCTGAGCGATAGAGCTCACGTTAGAATTACTAAGAATATTTCAAGCAGTAAGTAAACTCACCAAAGGATAGAGCACCAATTTCTAGCAGCAATGAAAAAATCCATCGCCATGATGGAAGTCGCTGATGAAGATTCGAGGAGGCAGACGAGGGTTGTCATATCAAATTCAAGGAACAATACTCACTCTGAGGAACAATACTGTGAGGAACAATGCATTAGGAGAGGTTCAGTACCTATTGTTTGCCCCAATACTACATCCTGTTTGAATTTCTGATACTACGCAGGTCCACCCAGGCAGTGGCAAGCCTGCGCACCAGCAGATAATATGTACAGTGCGAATATAGAGCTGCGGCAAAGATAATCGCCGCCCAGAATATGTTGAATGCAAAAACCCACCTTGAGACGCCCCCCAGCAACCAAGCAATCAATCCACAAAATCAGAAAAGCCGCTCACCACCTACTATAGTTTGACGCTTACTCTCTGCTTATCCAAACCATAGAACACGTCTGGTCTCGTCGAGTGTGGCATTACGATCCATTCTTCTCCCAAGGAAGGCTGAAAGTACCTACCCAGTCTTCTACCTCCCTGCGGAGCTGAATGATCTCTGAGACATCCTCTCCCTCTCCTAGGAACTCCTTGAACGCATTCACACTGCCGGGATTCTTCCTCTTTTGCTGCTCTGCTTGCTCCTTTGCAGCCTTGTCTAGCTTTTGTGTGATGGAGACTGCTCGATGAACCACATCTGCAACTCTCCTGAAATCATCGGGCTGGAATCCCCTTGTAGTCATAGCAGGACTGCCCATCCGTAGTCCACCTGGTTTCATGGCTGACTTGTCGCCTGGCACGGTGTTTTTGTTGCTCGCAACCCCGACAAGCTCTAGCACTCGCTCAACTCGAGCACCGTCGACACCCCTGTCTTTCAAATCTACTAATACTAGATGGTTATCAGTTCCACCGCTAACGATGTTGTACCCCAGGCCTCCGCTCTCCCTTGGACTTCCTAGCCTGTCTGCAAGGGCTTTGGCGTTTTCTAAAACCGTTTTCTGATAGTCCTTGAACTCTGGGCTCTGGGCTTGTTGGAGGGCTACAGCCAAAGCTGTGATGGTGTGGTTGTGTGGGCCGCCTTGGTGACCAGGGAAGACAGAGGCATTAATAGGGCCCTCCAGATCCCATTTCTCCTCGACACCTTTCTTGTCCACCCTCCTCACTCCTTTACGGTAAAATATCATAGCGCCTCGGGGGCCTCGCAAAGACTTGTGCGTTGTTGTTGTTACAACGTCAGACTGTAAGAAGGGCGAGGGAATCACTCCAGCCGCAACCAGTCCCGAGATGTGGGCCATATCTGATAGTAGGTATGACCCTACCTTGTCAGCTATCTTTCGCATGCGCTCATAATCAATCAGCCGACTATAGGCCGAAGTCCCCGCGATGATGATTTTCGGACGGTACAAGGTGGCCATGTCCTCCAGCTTGTCATAGTCAATCAATCCCGTTGTTTCGTCCAGTCTGTATGGGAGGGTCTCGAAGTATTTCGAAATGGCAGATATCTTCTTTGAGGGAATCTGATAGCCGTGTGAGAGATGGCCGCCGTGGGGCAGATCGAGGCCCATGATTCGATCATGGACATTAAGGAGGGCAGAATAGGCATAGAGATTAGCGGGAGAGCCGGAGAGTGCTGGAGACGTGGATAAGCTGGTGCACAAATGACGGTTAGAGGGTACTCACGCTGGACATTCACCCCCCACTCCTGCTCTGACAGGCCAAAAGCTTGCAGGGCTCGCTGCTGGCAGAGCCGCTCCGCCTGGTCAATGTATTCATTTCCGCCATAATATCTAGCTCCCGGGTAACCCTCGGAGTACTTGTCTGGGCACACTGGTAAGCTGAGTTCGCAATGGCCCTCCGAATCGACATACTCTGCATCACACTGCCGAGGGCATCGAGCACGGCCTGCGAGGTGAAGTTCTCGGAGGGAATGAGGTTGATGAAGTGCTTCTGGCGGTTTTTCTCCTACGGGAACGAGGCATTGAGTCAGACTTTGTCGCAATTGGGATTTTGGGTGGCGTGGGGCACCTTTTCGATGATGTCGAATACTGCCGGGTCCGCTTCTTCGAGACTGGCCGAGAGCAGCTGTACGGCCACGTTAGACAGCTCTCCCAAAAAACACCACGGGGTCACTGCGGCCCACCTTGTGCTGGCGTTCGATTGAGGCAAGACCCCGCGTCATGGCCGGTGTCCGTAGAAAGCGGCATGGTGGAGGCGACGGGCGGGGCAGCACATGTGCGAACAGCGAGCGCGACGCTCGACAGCTGCTCCGGAAGGACGACATGGCGGCCGCAAGGAAGTGTAGCTTGCGAGAGAGGGATGCTGGAGTCGTGGGCACAAAGCGGTGTCACGCCGGCATCAGAAGCTCGGGGAACGGGACTCGGACCGCGCCATGCCTGAATGCCGGGGGCGGCGCTCCGGGGTATAAAAGCACGACTCCACCGCCGCGGTGCTCTCCATCAACTATTCCCCAAGATGATTCACGGCTCTGCGCCAGGCCAGGTCTCGCCCGCTGCAAAGCGGCGCGGGCGCTGCTGACATGCTCCCGCCTTCACCACCACGAACCGGGGCAGTTTGATTGTCTATGATTGGAGTTGGTCGTGTCTGCTCGCGGTGCGGTCGCCGGCGACGTCTCCCAGTCCGCGAGTCTCCGTCGCGTCTGGCGAGCCTAGCGTGTTACGAGGTGCTATATATATGTAGTAGGTAGAGATCAGGTATATCAAGTCATTGCTTCCAGGAGCCGGCTCCCAGCCTGGCGGCCCTTCCACTTCGGACCTGTGCCTGCCTCGAAGTGACGTTTCCGCCCGCCCTGCTCGTAGACCACCACTCGTCCCCAAACCACCAGCCTCCACTCCCTGCTCCTCTCACTTTTCCGGCGTCGAGGTTTCTGTCCTCGCCGCTGCTTCAATCAGCCTCTTCGCCGCGTCTCCGGGCGTGCCTCTCTCCTCAGTTGCCCGAGCCGTTGTCGACCTGTACTTGTGCTCGAATTTTGGCGTATCCAGTCCACGTCGAGCTCCCTCCGTCCGCGAACGGAGCGCTGTCGCCCTCTCTCTCACATTCACCCTGTCCGAGCCCGTTACTCTCAGCCGAAAATGGCTTCGGGCTTCACCCGCTACAACCACCTCACCGGCCGTCCTATTCGGAGGGGTGCTGGCCAAAAGAGGAAGGACGACGGCTACGTAGACTCGGTCATCATAGAAGACGACATCATCCCCGTTGAATCCTGCTCCGAAGACGAAGATGGCAACCCCACTGTACGCAGAGTCTCCAAGCGCAAACGAACACCGTCACCGACCCCACCCCCACTAGATGCCCTCATTGACGACGACCTTCCGCCCCAAGGCCAAAGCGAGGACGAGGACCAGGATACTGACATGGGTCGGCCTATCGAGCTTACCTTCCAGATTCCACCAGGCTTCAAAGGCCCGCTGGTCGTGAGGCTGGATCGCAAGCTCCTGACAAGCGCAGGGACTGACCCCAACTCGGCGAAGCATGGAACCGACGATGCATCACGCTTGTGGTTTGCGAAACGTCACCGGAAGACAACTCAATCGATGACTAAACGCCCAGCCAAACATTCCGCAGGCACACACCAGCCCAATGCCACAGGCTTCCTCAAACTGCCACCAGAGCTGCGGAACAAGATCTATGGGCTCCTGTTCGTTTCACAGAACGAGTTGAGATTCAGCAACCCGCAATTCAGCCTCTCTTCTGCATTCCTACGGACCTGCAAGCAAGTACATGACGAGGGTCGGACCGTATTGTATGGTGAGAGCACCTTCGTGTTCGAGAGGAACAGGAATAGCAGGTCGCCTTTCTGGGACCCCGTGGCCAAGGAAATTGGTTATAAGGACATGCGTCGATTTCTCACCATGATCGGAGATAACTTGGCTCTGCTTCGCCAGATTCGGGTAGTCTTTGAGGACGCCACCCCATCCTCGCTACCATACGTCCGGAGCCAGGAGGAACGGCGTTTCATCCACGACGAGCATCTCATCGAGTGCCTGCGGATTCTTCGTCGCGCAGAACTCAAAAAGCTTACGCTCTGCTTCCATGGCCGCAAGACTTTGACGGAGTACGATGGAGTCTCATTCCTTGGGCGTGTCTGCGAAATCCAAGCGGACAAGGTCGACATCATCAGCAATCCGAGATGCTGGTACATGGAATCCAAGATTCACTATACTGTGAAGGAGCCTTTGGTGAAGTCCATGACGCGGGATCCCCCTCTCTACACTGTCAAGTAGTGGATGGGACCGCTCTGGCTCATCACGGAATTTGGCCTGGTTTTCATGGCTCGTTTCCCGATACCCATGCTTTCAACGTCTCATAGCTCCATACCTTCTTGTACCCCGATCAGCGGATCTTCTACTCTGCTTTCGGACCCCCCCCTCCCAGTTATATTTTACTGGTTGGGAGGGTTCCCTATTTGTATATACTTACTACACATTCGGTAGTTATGGCGTTTCGATTTTACGATTAGGTTCCAATCGACTCTTATAATAATGTCTGCTCTCACGGAGGTACCTTCGGTATCGACGGCATGTATATAATATGGCAGGTTTAAGTTATGGCTAACACCATTTTATGTTGCCTTTCAAGGGTGGAATAGCCTAATTTACATCCTTGGAAATCAATTACTCCGAAGGTTGGGCAGCAGTGATATGGCCACGTTGTGATCAAGATATTGACGATATATTTTGGAATGTTATGTTCGCCCTAGAATCACGAGTCCCGTGGAAGTATTACAGTTTGCTTCAAATCACTGACTTCTTCGCTTCTTGAATTCTTCAATCCATCCAGAAGCCTTCTCCTTTGGGACTACGTTTACCTTGACCAGCCCATCCAAAATCTCGCATTTACCGCTGCCAAGGATCTTTCCCATCGCTATCTTCTTTCCGGCTTTGATTAGCCCTCCTGATGTTGTCTCCATGTAGCATTCCACACCGGCCTTTGTGTATTCCTCGGCTTGGTCCCACGGAACGGGCAAGATGTACTGCAGGTGATCCATTAGCGTCTCCGTCTCTTGAAACGCCTTGATGAAGTCAGAGTGCGCATGCATCGGATACAAGAGTATGACTGGAATTGAAAGTGCAGAGGTGGGGTCGAGTGGCTTCTCTAGCTGTATTGCGGCGTCTTCCATATCTGGTGCCTTCTCCGATGTTCTTGTAACGATGTTTCTTGATTTCAGCGCTAGTTTCAGCGAGCGCTCTTCCGCCTTTTTTCGCTCCTCGCGCTCGCGGCGGACACGTGCTATGGACTCGAGAGACTCCTTTCGCGCCGTGATCTTAGTGGCTAGGGTCTTGAGTGGTCCATTAGAAGCATTAATGGCTAGGCCACGGTTGCAGGCATCTGAAGCTTCTGGGAGCTTGTCAAGCGCGAGACAGGCACTAGCGGACCTGTAGAAGGCTTTGAGGTTCGATGGATTCAGACGAAGAGTTGAAGCGCAGTCTTGGATGCAAGAGCGATAGTTTTCTAGGGGTCGTTCAGTACACGTTGAGCGAATAATAGCTTTTTGATGAATAAAGTAGTTTCAAAAGTCGAGAACGAAGGTGTTCTTGACGAAACAAGGAACACATATATTAACAGGAGTCTTACTCTTCTCCAAGTTGCAAAGAGCGCGATTGATGTAACTCGCTTCCTCAATGTGACGTTCTTTTTCCCGCTCGCTCTCCTCGTCCACTACTACAACATCCATGTCCGCAGGCCCTTCCTCCGCATCTTGGGGCTGCAGTGGCGCTCTTAGAGCGGCTATGGCTTTGTTGTAGAACTCTTTGGCGTCTGACCACATCTTATTCCGCGCGAGGTCATTTCCTTGCTGCCGGAAGTTCTCTGCGACTTCGGCGCGCGTTCCTTCGTATGCCAGCGCCTTCAGCGCCTCGAGCTCCACGTTCTCGCCGCCCTCGCCGTCCGTATCGTCCAAGGTCGTCATGAACAGCGGGACGCGATTCATGTTTTGCAAGACATCGTGGGTGGACTGTGCTTGTATTGACGCCATGGCAGGCGGCAGTGCCGCAGAGGGCTGGGCTGGCGCATCTTCTAGCTTCAGGTCGCCCATCATCTGTTCCGCTGGCACAGCTTGCGGCATAATTCCTGGAAGCGCGGAGAGTTGTGCCGCAATTACCAGATTTCAAGATTGATGGATGGTGCCTATCAATTTCATGAAGTTTTTAATAGTGGTCACGTGCTGGAGCAAGCGAGGCCAAGTTAAACTCAACGTCACCCCAGCTTAGGTCATAGAAAGTGGTATTGACCGACCGCATGCACATGCTATGGTTCTAAGAAGTCTCTCCGTTGCAGGGGATGTCTATCAAAAGCTATGTACAATGGTGTCCAGAGTAGTTAACTATGGTCATCTCCTTACGTAAGGATTTTTTTGGTTTGTTCCTTCTGGCTTTTCACTTTGACGCAGTCCAGCTGAGTTTGTCCTAAACTGGTGTACATTACCTTAGTACAAGGGTAGATTAGTGCTGCTGGTTTGTTCTACCCCTTGTCGTGCGCATCGCGCGTGTGTCTCTGTGGTCATGGCGCTGGACCCTTGCCGCTTGTTCCGGACTAGTTACTCGAGCGGACACCTGCAGCCTGTCCGGCGGCTTTTCTGGGCGCAGCTGGGCTATTTGACGATCTTCAAAAAGACGATGAGGATTTCATGGTCGAGTCCTGGTCGAGTCAGGAACCCAAAAGGCTTCTGAGTCCCCAGCGTGCCAGCCTCCAGGATATCTTGAAAAATCAACAGGACGTGACATGTGAATCGTCACTCTTTCTCGACGCGTCGCGTACTGCGTATTTGTATGCCAAGCTCGGATCGATATTCGCAATAATCGATAGTCACCATGCGGTACCACAGTACTTCGCTATTGCAATCGCCTGATTAGAGAACCCGCAAGGGACTTACTTGTGTGTACGTGTATGTGTCTACCTACATTTGAGCCGTCACTTACAGCCTAGGGAGTCGGCTTCTGTGAGAGCGACAAATTCGGCGTCATAACGGCAACATTGTGTATATGCGTTTCAACCCTCCGAAGGACGCACTATATTTCGTCCCGGGTACCTGTCAACGCTTGTTCCCGGGCCTGTCCAGGATATGTACTTGACGGCTCTGTACATGCACGACTCCTGAAAGGTCGGGCGATTTGGTCTCGGTCGTGGCTTGTGCATACGGTATAAGACGGCTACGCTGATCGGAGCTTGATGCAGCCGTCATCATCGGGGTGGAAGTGCAAAAGGCCCTGCATGCCGGCGACCAAAGCGTGATGGCGGGGTCGATGCATTGATGTTAAGAGCCGGGTTCTCCTTCAGGACTCGAATAATGAGTGGCGACGTTGTCCATCAGGTTAAGCTGTATACTCTCACAGGCGAGGAAATAGGAGTGCAGTCAGGAGGACCTCCGCCCAAGTACACCCGATGTCCACCTGCAATGCGTCAGCCTCACCCCTCTCATCTTTGTCTTCGATCTCGTTAATGAGGCCGACTGCTTGCGTTGGCCCAAGCGCGTGATGTGCAAGGTCACAGCGTGATGGCACTGATGAGAGGTCGAATTGTGCATCATCACAAGCTAGCGACGGCAACGCTTCTGCATTTTCTGGTCTCGAAGCCCGGACGCGTCCTGTGGTTCAGGCATCGTGCCGAGGGTGTCATCCTCGTCGTGAAGTGATAGGACGTGCAGCAGCACAGGAGGCACGACGGGCTTGGGCCCCGATAAGAAGAGGCGTGACAGCAGGCCCACGCAGCCTCACGCTTCACGCTGCGCCCGCTGTGCCTGACCCGAACCGAGCACCACTCGTCGAGCCAAGAGATGTCCCGGGTCTGCTCGGGGCCTCCATTTCCTTAATTGTTTGGTCTTGAACCGGCGCGCAGCCAGCGTCGACGGCCCGAATGAGCGCAGCACCGCGCCAATTAAGCCAGCAAGCCCGCGACGATCTGCTTGTTATTGGCTCTATCGGTGGTGTTTCGAAGGCACACGGCGGGCGGGCGACCCACTGGCTGTCGAGGTCAAACACGCGTGGCTTTCTACAACATCTCCACCGCAGCCCCTGGGTCGCAGCGGCCACTCAGACAACCCAGCTGGCTGGGGAGCGATGCCGCTCGCGGGTGCACGAGCTGCAGGCTGCTCACGGCAATCCCGGTTCCACAACAGCCCGCCAACCGTCCGAGGGCTCATTTCTTTTCGAATTTCACACCCGCGCTGGGCCTCATTCGCTGCTCGTACGGCCCCTACCGGCCGTGGCAGGGGGTGCCTGGCTAGGGCAAAACGGTGCATGAGGTCGGCTCCTGGGATCGTCTGCTGCGAGCGAACCCCGGACTTTCCCTCTCTCTGCGAGCTGTTCCTGTGAGCGCGGCAGGTCGCGATCCTCGAGCACTGTTCTCTTCTCTTGCAAGCACTCACTCCTCGCCATTCTCGGCCCTATTCCACTATTGTGTTTGTTGTGTTCTTTCCTCGCGTGGTGCGTGTCTGTCGTGCTGTGTGTGCTGCCCAACTTTATATTCGACCCCCGACTTGGCTGCTGTGCCCCAGGCAAGCCTCGTAGGAGAAGCAATTGGCAGCGAACGCGCGGGAACCTAAGGTGAGAGACACGCCGAGCAGCTCACTGCCGTCTGCTATTCGGATCCTCCTTGAGATTGACATGATTTTGCCTTCCAGCCCCCTCGTATACTCGAATTCGCTCCTTCCAATACACTCCTTCGCTCGTGTCCTATACGTCACTCTTTCTGCATCAAGAGAGCCATCGCTGCTGCACATCTAGCCATACGAAGGCTTCAAGTGCCATTGACCCTTCATTTGGCCCCCTCTGCATGCTGCTCGAGACCCGCTAGAGCCACTCTTTCCAAGAGAACGCTCCAGCCTCGACGTCTACGACTAGTCCCCCAGACATGGGAGTATAGTAACGTTGCAAAGAAGACAAAGTAAGTTGTTCTGGAAGCAAGCGATCTCTAAAGGAGAGAGCAGGGCGCAAAGAGTGCTACTGACTTTCGCATAGTCATGTTTTAGATACGAGAGTCTGATACGACAACTTACTCGCAAACATTAGCGGGACAATAGCACATGCTTCAACTTCCGAGGCCACAATCAGTTAAGAATCCTCGATAGAGATCTGTCTGTTCTGCACAGCATGTCGACCGACTATTTCTCAGAACAGGAGGCTTACATAGCCTCACAATCGCTTCCTTCTCCTTCTGATACACCATACCATACTCCCGTTCCGTCTGGATCCCGCCGCTCGTCACGCTATGGAACACCCTCCAGTGGTCCACCATCGTCGCCTCCACCGCTTCCTCCGGATAACCAGCGAACATCAGAAGACGCAGTGGACGAAAATATCTCGATTCTCGACCCGCGACGGTTTACTCCAACACTCCATGCATCGTTGGTCTCCGAAATCCTTTCACTGCGTCGAGAATTGGATTCTAAACACAAGTTTATCGAAGACCTGGAAACGAGCTTTGAGACATCACGTAACGAAATTGAGTCCTTGACAGATAAGTTGACCCAATCAGGGAAGGAGAGCCGGTCTACGAAACGACATTTGCAGCAGCTGGAAAACGGCACGCTAGAAGCGCTGGAAGCGCTAGCCAAGGAACGAGACGAAGTTCGAGAGGCGAATGCTGATCTTAAAAAGAAGCTGGAAGCCTCCCAAAAGAAGCTGCGTACCCAGGATGACGATTCGGCTCGTGTTCATGATATGTGGTCAAGAGACAAGGAGACTTGGGATGGCGAGAAACGCTTATTGGAGCGGCGCGTCCATATCTCTGAAAGTCGCCTGAAGATCATACTAGAGGAACTCGCTGCGCAAGACGCCGCTCAAGAAGACCATGGCACGGACAGTGAAGGGGAAGATAACACTAGGGATAGTGGTGTTGGCCATGAGAGTGACACTGCAAGTATACGCTCCTCGCCCCGCCGACGATCGTCGAGTCGAACCGGAAGGCATTCGCGGAACCTCAGCAACAGTAGCCACCGGAGTCTTGGACGTGCCTATCGATTCTCTTTAATGTCTGGTATTGGTTCAGAGGGCCACGCGCGTCTCAATGGTATGAGTCTTGCCGACGAATTGATCTTCGACGAGGAAGAGGAGGATTTGGGCGACCTAGAACTCGACTCCGACGACTTTCCCGAGAACGAGATGCGTGCCAGGCGAGCGTTGGAGTCCCGCCAGTCAATGTACCCAGACGAGAAGGCAAAGCGGATACTTGGACTTACGATGGAGAACAAGGAGGGTGGGATGGAAGGGAAGGAGGCGGAGGTTTCGAAGCCAGTCGAACCAGTTGCTAGGATTGCGGAGACAGCGACCGTACGAGAGGTCACACTTGTCACAATGCCTCCAAAGCGTCAGTATGTGGACACAGGGATACAATTCTCTCCACCGCCTTCTCCAACGTCTCCAGAGTCTATCTCTCCCAGAAAGACCATCGAATCGCCTGTTCCTTTGTCAGACATTGAAGCAAACCAAAGGAGAAAACGAGTTTCGGCCGCATCACCTGTTTCAAACAGTTCGCAGTCCATAAATGGCGAAAAAGCAGCCAATTCTGTGACTTCGACCTCGTCTCAGACGTTGGAACAACCTCTAAGCCCACCGGCAACACCTAAAATTCCAATACCCGCGTTGCTTCAGAGTCCTACTGCACCTGAGTTCACAGTGGACTACGCTTCGATATCCACACAGACAGATATCTCGGATGAGCCACCCAGAATCCCGGTGCCACCTCGATCGCCGAGTCGACCGATGCCTATCACAGTTCCATCTATTGCAATCCATCCCCCACTTTCCGCGCCAACATCCCCGAAAGAGCCCATATTACCTCCTGGCACCAAGAATGCATGGTCTCAGACTACCGGACAGCTTAACGTACCCACCCGTTCTATCTCCATTCAAACAGAGGAGATTAGGGTTGATAGAAGGCCTGTCAAACTACCCCCTCACCTTCTGCCTTCGGCCATCTCATCCAAACCTGGGACACCGGAACCCGATAGGACGCGGCCTGAACCAACTATCGATCGGCCTGACACCGAAGCTCCAGTTCCAGCACCTTCTGTCTCTGCCAATAGACACGGAAAGGCTCCTGCTTTGCGGCACACGCAAGATCTAAATACCCTCCTGAGCAAAGCATCGGAGCCCGCGATTGAGGACCGATATCCAGGGAACAATGACAACGGCCCTCTGGCACGTGATAAAGAGGATGGTCTGCGACGGCCATTCAGGACCAGCAGCCTTTTTGCAGGGTTTGACGGCGCGAGTTCTGACGAGGAAAACGATGCTGAAAATAGCGATGATGATTATAGAATACCTCAGTACTCGATGATGTCTAGTCGAGCAGTAAAGCATGGTCGGCTATTTAACAACCCGCCAACCCCAGTTCCTGAGGATAAAGAGGTGATTTCAAGCTCGCGGATTTCGGAGGATTCTACCGGTACGGGTAGGATGTACTCCTCTGGTCGCAACTCTTTGGAAAAGTCCTCTAAGATTGCAAAACCTTTGAGAGCTTCAGGCATTACCCGACAGCCAAGTATTCGACGATCAGCAATGATCCAAAATGGTACTGTTGCTCACTACCAGCGATCTCGCAGCCCTAGTATTGGCAGTATTGGTTCCAGCACGTCTGTTCCCAAACCGCCATTTCCAGTCCCGACGAGATCGAGTTCTCGACGTATTCCTCTGAGTAAGAGTGAAGGATCTCAGAGCCCGACGCCACGGAGTGGCGGCATGTTTGCCGGGAGACGACCCCCTCAAGGAGCCAAACACCAACGAAAGGACAGCCTGAGGAAAATTCGATCTGCAGCAGTGATACCGAGAAATGGACGGCAAAGAAGTCGATCACCTCCACTTCCTGCTACCCCAGTACTTCCTCAGAGTCCTCAAATTCCACCGCTTCCGAATGACATGATTACAGGTCAACGATTTGGCCACCAACACCAGCTCTCTACAAACACTTCCAACACTGGAAACGGCTCGGTAGCCAGCTCAGCACAGCAAACCAGCGTGGTCGACGCCATCGCAGCTACCATGGTTGGTGAATGGATGTGGAAATACGTTCGAAAGCGAAAGACCTTCGGTGGCCCCGACTCCCCACAGGATCTAGGACGTGCTGGTGATGATGGCTCAGTCATGCCGGGCAACGGTATCCGGCACAAGCGTTGGGTATGGCTCTCGCCCTATGAGCGGTCAGTCATGTGGAGCAGTAAGCAGCCTACGTCAGGCACCGCTTTGCTAGGGAAAAGTGGTCGGAAGTGTACGTGGTCCATCTACGTTCAAGTTTCAAGAGCTAATAATTTGTCTAGTGACCATTCAATCTGTCCTCGATGTTCCAGACAACACTCCCCTGCCCAAGGGCGCGGGGCTCAACTCGCCAGTATTCAATCGTTCCATCTTAATCCTCACGCCAGCCCGAGCTCTCAAATTCACTGTCGTTTCCCGAGAGCGTCATTATCTATGGCTGACGGCACTCTCATTCCTTGCTCACTCTTCCTCTGGAGTACCTGAACTAGGGCCTATCCCGCCTGTACCGCCACCGGTTGAGGATCTCCCACAACAGCGAAACCAAGGTGCTTCGCTACGTCGCGCTCACATAAGAGACTCTGTTCGTCTAGCTAAAGATAAAGCGATGCCACAAAATCAACGACAGTACGGAGCCCGAGCTGATCCGATTCACGAATGGTTTGGAGAATCTCAATTCGATAGACCTGTCGCGGACGCGGCAGATCCACCGAATGTCCCGCGAGTAGGCTTCCATGGCCGTAAGAGGAGCTCCACCGGACCGCGCGCTCCTCCGCCTAACGCGGCCTTCCGCAACTTCTCTCATAACCCTGTCCCATCTACATACTCCACCGGCTCGTCAGATCTATATGGACCACCGCCGTCGGTTCCCTCATCTGTATACAACCCTAACAGTGTCATGGGGAGTTCTCGAACGTCAGAAGCAAGCAGCTCCGCCCGCCACAACTTCTTCGATGCCGTAGGCACTGTTAGAATGGAGGCATTTGTCGAGCCAATACTTTCGGAAGGAGCGGCATACGGAATGCCTACTGGACCGAAACCCCGTCCTGGACGTCGGAGAGGTAACAGCCAGTGGAGCGGCAGCACAGACCCTCACCGCACTGGAGGCTTGTATGAGGACTCGCAGGATACCTACGACCCTTTCCGCAACTTTTGAGAAACACTCATGTCATTTTACCACAAAAGTTTTTACCCAAAAGATCTCAATCCTTGCTCATCAAAAGCGGCTGTAGCATCTCTCTTTGCCTGTTTTCTTTCCCCCATTCGTTCGACATTTCATAAAGTCCCGGGTAGCGGCGTTTGTACTGGTACAGGCTTTGGGGGAACTCGGAGGAGTTGGATGTACTATTTCGATCTGTAACCATCCCTCTTGTGTCAAAGAGGCTAGAAGCGGCCTGCTCAGACAACCTGGATTTCCTGTTGTACCTTTTCGCTTAATCACTTCAGTTGCTCTGCAAGCATGCATTTTATGCGATTGCTAGCATTTATTAGCTCAAGTTTGGATACCCTTCCGGATGCCAGATCTTGGTTACACCAGCAAGGTTCTTCTTTTGGCAGTGCTTGTTGTATATAGCTATATTTCTCGGAGTAGAACGAATGCGCCATGATAGATGTCATGTGGTAGCTATCACAAACCACCAGTATCGAGTTCATTATGTGTTGAAATCGAAACCATGTCTTGGATGATCCAGCGACTTCTTTTCATAAAGGTTCCACCTCCACTCGAGCCTGGTCAAAGGGCATTTTAACACTTTCTCGCTGCGGAAGCATACCGCGCAATCGGACACATAGGAGCAACCTCATCAAAATCTGTGTGAGGTCTTTCTGATCTCAGTCTTTGCATCGTTCAGACCCAAAACGCTCGGGCCTGGTTTTCGGGACAGTGAATTATCTGGTTACGGGGACGGAATACGGACCCTTGGTCTGGGTAGTTGATTGATGGGACGGTCGACATATTGTTAAGCATGTCATAGTCTTAAGAGTCATGCGGGTAGCCGTCATGTCATCACGTTACTCAGTAACGTATATCACTCCCGGGCTTTTTTATATTCGCTCAAGCAGGAGAATCAGGATTAGTTCGTGTTCCTCAAGTTTAGGTAAGAGGCCGTGTTTGGCTGGGGGTAGCTAAGTAAGGTGAGCTTGTGAGTTACAGTCAGTGATCAATTCGTTTTCCTTTGACCCTCGAAAAAGTGAACCCGTCCATCACGTATATTACTACTACATTCTCACGGTAGTAAATCTGATGACTCGGCCAGATAGTCTTTCGCAGGATGTTCATACCTACGCAACTTCGTCCCTTGCCTGTGCTTAACTTTCTGCCAACATTTGAAGCATAACGATATCCTTAACAAATCTAGATGAAAAGTTGATCCACCTGTGAGGCCTGTCTGGTACTATTCTGGGCCACCTCGGATAGCGTGGCTCAGCACTTTAAGTAGCTCGCAATACCAAGGATAACTTTCTGGATATTGATGGAACAAAAGCAAATCTCACATGATGTGATTTTGTTCCCTCTCATGGCTCACGCGCTGGCCTGAGGGTAAAATGAATGTTCATTATGTTAGGGTTATGGATCCTTTGCCTCCATCCGTCCAGAAACCATAGGCCATGGAGACAGCCCTGCCATTCTGCCATAGGCGTGTGATGCCCATTCTTCCAGTAGTGGAGTAATCTCGCTCAATGCTCCCCCGAAAGCAAGGTCCCTTGAGAATCCCAGAGCCAAAATCAGTGAAAAGAAGACTCCTTCAACGCCAGGCAGGCGAACCGACTCCACAGCCGGCCCGCAAATGATTTGGTATTGATCGTACGCTGACGACAATATCTGCCCTTCTCCGCCGAGGGCGGTGGCGCCTTGACGAGGACCACGGGAGATGGACCTCTACGACACTCCGCCGTGCTCTGGTCCGTGGCCCTCGCCTCACGTTATTCTATACCGTGTTGCTTCTTGAGGTTTTCTAGGTTCTGCTGGCGCTCGGCGAGGTCTTCTTTCGATCGCGCCATCTTCTCTGGCTGGTGATATAGCACTGCGAGGGGGTCAGTAATGCGCCTCCGATATTCGGAGCAGGCGGACGGGGCGGCGAGCATACCGACAAGGTATCTGTTCTGGAAGTTGAAGCCGTTGAGCTTGTCGCAGGCCGATTTCGCGTCCATGACGTCCTCGTAGACTACGAATGCGGTGCCCTTGGTGTTGTTGGCGATGCCCTGGCGAATTTGGCTGGCAAATGGTCAGCGAAAGGATAAAGAAGACACGGCATATTGAGCTTCAAACGGTGCGCATGGCAAACGATAGCAATGATGCTAGAGGGCTGGGGGCTTCACTTACCGCACCGGGCCAAACTTGCCAAAGAGGTCGAAGAGTTCTTCGGGGGTTACGTTGTAGCTAACGCGGCAGGTTAGCGCTCTGTCTGGCATGGCGGCACGGTCGCCGAGCGGGCTGTCGCATACCTCAAGTTCTTGACGAATAGAGCTCTGTGGGTGGGCGTGTTAGCAGACATGTTGCAGTGGCGGCGGCGAGCTAGGGTTCCCCGCAAAGAGCAGAGAGAGACAGAGAGAGGGCAGGCGAGCAGGCGGGCTTACCGGTTCACTTCGGGGGCAAGTTTTCCGCCGCGACTCATAGCTTGACTGCTGGAGGATGTCGAGCTGTGGTGGTTGGACTGGCAATGGGGGCGGGGTGGTGGTGGAGGAGTTGGGGGTGTCGTTGAAGATGCCAGGGCCCTCTAATAAGCTGGAGAAAGTCATGGATGGGCGAGCGATGCGGCACGTGACGCCGCTTTCGAGAGAGCCGCTTCACCCCAGGATGGCCGGTGCTGGACGTCGATTGATGCCCGCCGCTGCGCTCCCAGCACGCCTGTCCTCCGCCTCGAGATCGAACAACCTTCTGCCGGCCCGCCCCAGTCTGCCGCGCCGTCATTGAGGCTGCTGCTGCTGCGCGCGCTGAGTGCGCTGCCCGTCCGTCGGCCTCGAGCTCGTCCTGTGGTAGCCTTCACCTCCAGCGCTTCTCCCGCCAACACCTCCCCGCCTCCTCCGTCCTCCGCACACTCGCCGCGCCCGCTGCACAGCGATCCATCGTCTATCCATCGCATCGAGACCCGCGGCCGGACTCCTCTTCAGGACATGCTTCTCATCAATTCACGCTCGTTCTCCCCGCCCGACACGCCGTAGCGCTCCTCCGACGAGCACCTCCGACGACTCACCACCACCCCCTCATTCGTCCCAACACCCATCGCCCGCTTCAAACTCACAATGAAGCGTTCATACAAGCCTGAATTCCAGAAACCTCCGCGGTCCGTAACGCCTCCGCCGCCGGACGTCGAGCCGCTCACCCCCGTCCACGACCGCGACCAGCTGCCGTTTTCCTGGGACTACAATGGCACACACAACGCGCAGCATTTCGGCGAGGAGCAGGACCGAAGCCACCTCAATGGGCTGCATCGCGACGGCTTCTCCCACGCACGGCTCGGACATGCCCCCGCTGCCGTCATCACGTCTCCCCGCGACGGCTATCCAGCGCCTCCGCGCACTTCATATTCTCATGCCCACGGCTCCCCCATCGACACGCTCGCGAATGCAGCATCGTCTTTGGCAGCAAGTCCGGTCTTCCCTCAGCCTTCTCGCCGTCCCTCGCAACCACCGATAAGCCCTACCAACACATTGCACTTCGCCTCCATCGGCGGCCGTTTCAGAGATGACCACAGCTATTCTGAGCGGCCGGCGAAGCGCGCGCGCTCCGAGTTCTTTCCGTCTCCACAGCATCCTTTTGCCGCTTCGCGACCGATGACGAGTCATGTCCAGGTCCAGTCCCCGCAATGGAATGTCGAAGAGATGGTGGACAGCGACACCAGGATGTATCAAGAACGTCCAATGCCTAGCCAGGCTCCTCCTGATATCAGGAGGCTCTCTGACGCACAGCTGCTCTTGGACTTCACACGTACTGCCTTTACTACCTCCGTGACAACACAATCACAGCCACACGCAACTAACGGACGGAGCACAGTATACGCCGCGCACTCGGATATATCTGGTTCGCACGGCATACTAGTCACAGACGACCTCATCTCTCGTCAACGGCCTCATTACCAAGATATCTCACTCAAGTACGGCGAGCAAATGCCCGTGGCAGGCTCATCCGGAGGGCCTTTGATGAAGGACACTTTTGAGGAATCTGCTCTGGCTTCAGCTGTGCAAACGCATACCCCGCCAGACGATGCATATAATACGGCTAGCTCACTGGCTATCCCCGAGACCAACGGCTATGTCGAACCGAAGAAGACAAAGTCACATCAGGGATGGCCGAAAGGAAAGCCTAGAGGTCCTCGGACTGGAAGTGCTAGTGGAAAGAAGAGGAAGGTCGCAGCCAAAGTCAAAACTACTATTCCCAGAAGCCCAAAGATTGCTCCGGATCAACTTCATTCGCCACAGAGCCTCCCCGCTAGTTCTCCCAAGTTCTCGTCGCTCGAACAGCCAAGAAATTCCGAAGGACGGCTATCATCGCAGCAGGAAAATGCGGTGCGAGATCGACGACATTCAGCATCTGACCTGGCAAGATCTGATTGTGGAAAGATTCTCAGCGTATCCGAGCCACTCCGTGCCTTGTCTGTTCCGCCCGATAACAATATGACAATCACTGCAGCATCCATCGAAGTACCCAAAAAGGTCCCTGTAAAAGACAGTAATGCGATGGCACAGCGCACCATATGCGCCGGGTGTAACTTTACCTCGTCCACAGTTCTCACAGGAGAAAGCCAAGATTGGATCCGTTGCGACGGGTGCAATGGCTGGTTTCATTTCGCTTGCGCTGGATTCCAGACTGCACGCGACGTTAGGGGCGTAGACAAGTACTTCTGTCGCCCATGTAAACCGACACATGGTCCCACCACATGTAAGTTTTCCAGCTCTTGTGCTCCAAATCAAAGCTCTAAATACGTGCAGATGTTCGGAAATCCAATCGTGCCCATAGCACTGTCGATTATGCCGGTCTCAACGAGGGTGTCCTGCGGACATCAGACGAGAATCCGGAACATCACTACATTCGGAATTTCAAAGATGGCACCTACCAGTTCGACAAGGAGACCTTCGCTCGTATGCCACCTGAACTCGTAAATCTAGAGTATTTTGAAAAGATGAACGGGTTCCGTGAGCCGATAGTAATCCCAGCAAGCCTGAATCCCCGTCCGAAGGTCCCATGCTCCGATGTCAAGATGACTGATGTCATCAGCGAGAATACGGGTCCGTCAGTTGAACCAGACTACGAACATTATGACTACGGCAGCGTTCATGATGACGGCCAAGATAAACTGGACATGGTCATACCGCAGGGGCTGACAGTTCGTCGTGTTGCAGAGATGTATGGACTCGGAGAGCCTGTTGAAGTTATTGACGTCAAGTCACAACAAGGCGAACCTGATAAGAAATGGGACATGAAAAGATGGGCAGATTACTACGAGGAAACAGGCGAAAAGATCGTCCGAAACGTCATCAGCCTTGAAGTATCAAAGAGCAAACTCGGCAGACTGATTCGGAGACCCAAGGTGGTTCGTGACATGGATCTCCAGGACTCGGTTTGGCCTGCGGAAGACAAAGCGAACGCTCCGAAGGTTCAATTCTATTGCTTAATGTCTGTCGCAGACTGTTACACAGACTTTCATATCGACTTCGGAGGCTCCTCCGTTTACTACCATATCGTCAAAGGGAAGAAGACCTTCTTCTTCATTCCTCCAACCAAGCAAAATCTCAAGAAATACGAGGATTGGTGTTTGTCTCCCGCCCAAGACCACACATTCCTAGCCCACCAGGTCAAAGAATGCTACCGTGTCGACCTATCAGAGGGAGATACCATGCTCATTCCAGCAGGTTGGATACACGCTGTTTGGACTCCCGAGAACAGTTTGGTCATCGGTGGAAACTTTCTTACGCGGCTTAATTACGGCATGCAAATCCGCGTCTTCGAAGTCGAGAAGGCCACGAAGGTGGCAAGGAAGTTCCGCTATCCCAACTTCCAAAAAGTCCTATGGCTCACTATGTTGAAGTACCTTGACGATGACCCGCTTCCGCAGTTCGTCGCAAATGCTCTAAGTGACGGCAAGAAGTTTGAGAGGCAGATCGCCATCTACTGTGAACCTGACCGCTTCGGGCACAATTCGCACCTAGGCACTCAGTACTACAATTCACGCTACTATTCTAAAGCTGAACTGGATGGTCTTCCGGATCTGGCCAATTACATTTGGCGAACGGTCATGATTTCACTTGGTCAAATTGAAGGGATCACACAGGAGACGCGTAATGCGGTAAAGCGCTCCATACCGAAGGGACGAGGAGATCCACTCGAACTAGTGAAGAAGTTCGCTATGTGGACAGCGTGGAAGAGAGGAAACGAGGAGATCCCTCAATGGGCGCATCCCCAGGCTCTACTACCAGAGAACGGACCATCGAAGGGCGAAACTAAACTCAGTGCTGCCGCTTTGAAGAAGTTAGAGCGTAAGTCCTGGAGTGAGGCCTTCCGAGCCTCTAGAGACCGACCCTCACGGCAGATGCCGGCAGTGGCAGACACAATAATCACGAATGGCGCCGCATCTAGCCATCTATTAGCCCCAACTCCCCACGTTTCCCAACGATCGATACTGGAGAATGGACGGCACCTCAGCACCCCTAAGACATCTCAGCTAGGCCCTAAGCGGATCGCTTGTGACGCTTGTAGGAAGCGAAGAATTCGATGCAAACACAAAGATGCCTTGACCGAGTCTCAAAGAATCATGGCAAACTCAAGCCCGATACTGGTCACCACTCCTCTGACCGGAAGCTCAAGCCTCGCTGGAGTAGCTATTCCACTCGGACAGCCTATCAAGCTGTTGGCCAGTGACATGGAGCCGGTAGCCTCGGTTCTATCAAAACCGCCAAAGCCAAATGGGCTTGTAGCAGCGGAAGCTGCAGCTTCCTCTTCCGATTTTTCCCTAGACATACCAAACAACAAATCGGGAAGGGTAAAAGCGTGCCTTGATTGTCGCAAAAGCAAGGTAAATTAACCATCAACATTGTACAAGTTCAGCACTAACCATTAACGACAGCGCCGGTGCATACACGATGAGTACGGCCGGGTCGATCCAGTTAAAGCATCCGAGGCCCCAGTTCCCCGTGGTTCAGCAACAAAGAAACGCAAACACGGCGACGATGATGCTAGTCCTGCAAGCAAGAAGGTGAAGCGAGAGCCTCTTCCTACGGCGACATTAGCATATACAGGGGAGCTTGTTCCACCAATATCGCCAGTCATCGACCCTCAACTTGAGGAGTCTTCATATCCCTTGCCATTCACCCCGGAGCTCCATGATTCTATCACGATATCGTCGCTCGCAAAGAAACCACACTTTTCTCCACAGAGAGAACCAGACATGCACGGCATCTCCTTACAAGCTCAGGGTAGAGCTTCGGCTGATGTGTCATCCGCGTTACCTGTTATCGACCCGATAGTCTCCTCGATTGAGAAGCCACAGGGCGATCCATTCACGGTTTCTGTGTGGGAGCAGCAAGACCACCAGAGATCGCCTACCCAAGTTGACCCAGTCACGCCACGTCGAAAGCCCGACTCGGACCATCGTCGCCACGAGAATATGAATCCATCATCACCATTGTCAGATATCGCTCAGGTTATATCTCTGGTGCACAGTCAACATGAAGACGTTCTCTTAGAATCTGTCCACGTTGCCGCGCCTTCGTCGCACAAAGGCAGCAATGACCGGAAAATGAGCCACACTCCGCGGCCTTCATCAAGCGGCAAGGGTGTCACCCCTACAACAGCGGACGTAAGCAAGTCTCGGCGTGACAGCAAGGGCACAATTAAAGTAACGCAAAAGGCAAGAACGATTTCGGGCGCCTCGGCAAGCACCGGATTGACTCCGGAGGAGGAGGCGGCAAATGCGCGTCTTATTAAAGAATTGCAGGCGCAGGAGTACTCGCTCAGGAGACGAAGCAAATGAAGATGCTATTTGCGAAGAGTTTGGCACGATGACTGGTCCTTTTTATGTTTATCCTGCGACGATTGGGCTAGTGCAGCCTAGGTCACAAAGGCTTCTTTGGAATTGAGGCTACCGGCGTGCTTTGAGTTTTTCTAGGATTCGGGTGGATAGGCGTCAACATTCGTCTAGGATGGTACCAATACCCGTGTAACACTTTACTGGCTGCATTTGAATTCTTTGCGAGGCGTTAGCTGTTAACAGAGCTGTCCGAGTCCTTTATCACTGTAGGATGTTGATTGGGCTATTGGTTGATAGTCATATCATCATGTTGTTGTCAGAATCATTCGTCAGGTTTTCCTAATACAGCGTCGTCATCAGCTTGTGCACAGTTGTCTGCTGTGTGCGAAGTGCTTTAGTGTGCTCATGAAGACCTGTAGGAGATGAAACGCGATCTTTGATCAGTTTTGTTCCTCGTTTTAGACCGCGTGGGCGTGGCTCATAGTGCTCGTGCCTTACAGTCGCCATACTCAAGTCGGCAGTGCACCACATAAGACATGTAGGATTCGCCTAGCACACGTAGCTGAGGCAAATAGTCATCCGCGCGTTGCCATAGAAGTCCCGATACTCTTACCTTCTTGTCCTAAGGTGGCCAACTGTGTTTCATTTCCCTCTCACGTTCGTTGTGCACGATGCTCGAACTGGTCATCTGAAACTGAGGCTTTCGCATGACTACGAAGGGGCCTGATCATGTATGAATTCTTCATAGTATTAGACAAATGAGATTGGTGTTCTTTCGCGCTCTTGAAGTATACACGATTCCATTTGAATTAATCTTGCGTACTATCCGAAGCCTTGATATTGAACTTCAAATCCGACTTATCCGTTCCCTAGGTTGTTGAAGCTTCGCCCTCGATGTGCTGGATAACCTTCAGCTCCGCTTCTTCTCGCAAGAGAAGAGCAACTCCAGTTCCCTATCCAAGTGGCCCTCGCATCATTACAATACCCCCAGAGCCAGAGATCCACCATCGACATCAACATGTCCGTATCGTAGTCCCTACCACGGCATTCCCTTCAGATCACACACACAAGAGCCATCTCCACCACCACAGGCACCATCTGCATCCAAGACCAGACACTCTGCGTGGGCATGGCATCAAACGCGCAACCTCGCCTCCACCTCCTCCACCCCCAAGTCCGACAGGGAAAAGCGTGCATTTCAGTCCTGACCTGCGTTCCAGCAAGCTCAAGTGGCCATGGATTGCGGATCCATTACCAAGGGCTCCGAAAGAGGAGACGACTGCATACCGAACTGTATACGCATCGCCTCCGCCTACGAGACGCCGTGAAAGCACTACTCGATCGGCCACTAGGGACGCATTGGGCTCCCGAGATCGAAGGTCCCCAGGGCGGCTACGCAGAGTTGCGGGCTACGATGTGCTAGCTTCCGAAGTCCCATGGAGTTGGGACTGCATTGAAGAGCAGCCACGGAGGAAGAGGAGAGGCGACAGACTGAACTACCCGCCATTTGGGCCGTCGAGCAGCTGGATGTGACAGGGTGGGGGGAACAGCAGGGCCCAGAGCCTCACATTGTACCAGAGCTATCAAGAAAGGGTCACTTTCGAGACTATTCACCATCTGATGCAGACGGCGGAGCGGGCGTGATCGTGCGGCGTGACTCGCACCTCGAGCATGACGAGGTTCGGGTTGGCGCAGGGCTGTGGTTAATTTAGGGCCGGCTGATCGTCCATGCCAGGGCTCCATCCGGCCTAGCTTTGTTTGCCGCCCAGGCGCATCCCACACCTCCACCCGTCTCAGCCCTCCGCCCTGCCCTCACTCTCTCGCATCCACAGCACAACTATACGACCCCAGCGTCCCCCTTCCCGCTTCCACTACCCCGACCCTTCTCTAGTCGTCAAGCGAAGCCCGAGTTGATGTCCACTATCGAAAACCTCAAGTCTTTCGGTACGTCAGCAAGCCCCGCACAGCCCCGCCAACGCAGATTCCTCTGCGCTTCAGCAGCATCGGCCCGTTGTTTCGAGCGGAGCCTCTCCAGCGTTACTCTCGATGACCTAGTGTGTTTTGCTGACTGTGCACATAGACCCTTTCGCCGAGGCCGAGTCCGAGCCTGGCGAAACCCAGCAGTCTCAGAATTACATCCACATACGCATCCAACGTACGACGCCTCATGCATAGCTACCGCGAACTTGACTGACAACCAGCACCAGAGCGTAATGGACGGAAAACCCTGACCACAGTGCAAGGGCTGCCCAAGAAATTCGACCAGAAGAAGATCCTCAAGGTCATCAAGAAAAAGTTCGCTTGCAATGGCACGATCGTCAATGACACGGAGATGGGCGAGGTGATCCAACTCCAAGGCGACCAGCGCAAAGATGTCCACGACTTCCTTGTCGATAAGAAGGAAGGCCTAGAGCTGGATGCGAAGACCATCAAGGTAAGAAGCATGCAAGGCTGGCGTGTCGGTTATGGTGCTAATTACTGTGTCTGTCAAGGTCCACGGTTTCTAAGCGGTCCATGCCTCGAAGCCCTCCGGCTCGGACGGAGTCGTCCCACAATCGATAGCAAGTGGGATAATGGAGAGGCTTGGTGGACAAGAGAGCGGAGTCACCTCTGGACATGCCCAAACTTTAGTGGGCAGAAATTGATATGCAACGGCCTATGGCTTTAGGGAAGCATACTTCTGCTATGAATCGACATGAGTTGACACTACGACTGAATCGCGTTGACTGTTCCTGCTGTGCTTGACATGACGTGGCAAAGGCTAATCAGGCGTGAATCTGTAGGAGCATGATCCTAGCCGCTAGTACCATAGCAGATTACACATTCCCTCGATTTTTACATACATGTTGTACACTTGGTTATATTACAAGGACGAGACAAACGGCTCAACCTTGGAAGGTCTCTGGATGCAACACAAAACCTATGTATCGTCAATCTTGACCTTCCCATCCCGTCCCACCGTAGCATAATGCACTCGTGTACTCGATTCCTGTGGTATCGGTACAGAAGAAGCTGGAGCACTTGCGCTCTTTTCGCTAATGTCTGCACTCTTTCTAGACGATGTAGGCCCAGGCGGGCTGTCCGCGATCTCATTCACATCGCGTGCCGTCAGGACATCTCGTATGCTTGAGCCTCGCGATTGCATGAGCAGTGTTGACGGGCCATGAAACTCGAGGAATAGCTAGTAGCAATCATGTTTAGTTAAAAATTCTTCACGAGCAGCCGTTCGAGTGTGCTTACCCTGTCTCCCCAGATAGATCTTCTCAACCAGGTCCTCCAGGCGAAGAGAACTCCAGTGATGGTCCTCCAGGTCGCTGTCTCCGCCATGGTCTTCAAGAATTTGCTGCTCTCTACCAGTGGACCGAAGTCATATTTTGGAATTTGAAAGCGCAAGGCAGTTGACTTGAATCTGTAAGGAAGCGGTGGTTTCGAACCAAGGACATATGCTACGACGTGACTGCAACGGGTAAGTCTTAACCCCAGTGATTAGAAAGAATACATACCTAGGATGCACGATATAGCTTTCTCCAGCCTTGAGCTGGACTTGATACACCTGGCCCTTTCCTACAAGAGCCATCAATCCTCTACCAGTCACCTGTGAATTGCCCCAATGTGCTACACTCTTCAACGGTTAGAGTGCTGCCGTTGAAGGATGTGTTTTCTGAACATACCAATTGGGTGTTGAGCTTCGGCTTTACAGAGAGCGCGTGGCCTGTCCATGCTAGCAGCGCGTTGCGTTGTGCTACCACCCAGTCATCCCGGCCATCGAGATGCACTACCGCGAATGACGATATTAGAGACTTGGTGGAGATGAGAGTCGAGATCGGGGTGGTGGAAGATATCTTTTGCTGTCAGAGACCATTGTGTAAATGGGTTGGAATCGCGGCGTACTCGTTGGTAGAGGAATGGGATACCCAGAAAGGCACGCCTGAAGGGCTCCAGAAGGGACAGGGTGGAAACAGTCTATGTCATATCTTAGTCCCTCGTATGGTCGGCTTTTCATGATCTCTTACATTCTCCGCTGCCCCGCTAACACCCACTAGGGTCCCTCTGCGAGTATACAGATTTTCCGATGCGGACAACGACACAGAAAGTAAAGAAAAGGGCGACCCGATCACTTCGAATCGAGCATCTATGATATTGGTCAGCGAGTCTGCGGAGCACGCCAGTTTGAACGAATAGTAGGATACCTGGAGCGGGAGAAGAGCCAGTGGCATTGCCAGGGCTAAGTTCCTGGTCGACAATCGGCGATATCGAAGGTGTGGAACTGATATGGACAAATCTGTTGCGGCCAATTGACGCATACAGGCGAGCAGAGCTCACGAAGCGCCCGCTCGCCATACATCGCAGTGATGAATGGGCGGAGGGCATCGCTGCCGGCTGCTGGACAGAAGTTTGCTGCTCGTGAAGCTCCCGGTGTTCGGGCTGGGAACGACAGTCGCGTAGGGCTAACTTGCAAACGCTACAAACAGCGGGAGGGCGACCGAGATCGCGGCATCAGCAAGCTTTCTCGCCTCAACCCTCGCGTCCGTGTGTAGAGCCCCAGCTCCATGGCAGACAGCCACTCGGGATACAGCTTCCCAGCGCACGAGTGACCTTGCCAATGCTTTCATATGCCACCTAGTCCGCACTGACGATGCTAGCACGCTCATTCACGCGGGCTCTCCTTCCACGGCCAACTGCGCGATTGAGCTATGCTGGCGCCTTGAAACAACGCAATGCATACCGCCGAAGCAATCTCCTCCTCCTCCCGACCCTCCGAGTCTTTGCGACCAGCCCTCCTCACAGAAAACAAAGCCATGGTCAACGGCCACCAGGCCCAACCCCAGAGGCTGTCGACAACGTGAAGCCAGACTCTTTGGAGAAGAAGCCGGAGTCTTTGGAGAAGAAGCCGGAGTCTTTGGAGAAGAAGCCGGCGACAGAGGCTACTAGGAAGGACCCGCTTCTGGCAGAGCAGGTTGTGTCAAACAAAGAGCAGCGTAAAGCAGACTGGGCAATCATGAAGGAAATGTCTAGATATCTGTGGCCAAAGGTAGTGCCCGACTTCTGCTGTGATGAGGGGCTCTAATGCTTGAAAGGATAATCTTGGGACGCGCTTTCGGGTGGGACTGTCTGTTGGGCTACTTGTCGGAGCAAAGGTGTGATTGATACACACCCCAGGCGCAAATGGGCCACTACTAAATAATTCGCTAGATTCTGAACGTTCAAGTACCATTCTACTTCAAGAGTATCGTAGACTCGATGAACATTGATTTCGTTGCCATAGGCGGGACTGCGTGGACAGTGGCTGGATCCATGATTTTGGCGTGTAAGCTTTTCAAATGCTGGTCTACGTTACAACGGCTAATGAGTGATCATTGTAGATGGTGTGACAAGAATAGGGGCCACCCTTTTTCAGGAGGTACGAAATGCGATATTCGCTAGTGTCGCACAGAAGGCTATCCGCAAAGTTGCCTGCAGTGTCTTTGAGCATCTGCTGCGGCTCGACCTGAACTTCCACCTATCCCGCCAGACTGGCGGTCTGACTAGAGCTATCGACCGCGGTACCAAGGGTATCAGCTTTTTACTAAGCTCAATGGTCTTTCATATTCTGCCTACCGCCCTCGAGATCTCCTTGGTCTGCGGTATCCTAGTAAGCTCCATCCATATAGCAGTCTATGTTTAGATGAGGTTGCTCAACACTATAGACGTATCAATACGGCGCCAAATTCGCTATTATAACTGGGACCACAATGGCAGCGTACACGGCGTTCACGATCCTCACCACATCCTGGCGTACAAAGTTTAGAAAGCAGGCGAATGCTGCGGACAACAAAGCTGCCACTGTTGCGGTGGACTCACTGATTAACTATGAAGCAGTGAAGGTATGTTGCTCTACCAGTCTTGTGTTTGGCCTGGTTTAACAAGCGGCAGTACTTCAATAATGAGAAATATGAAGTAGGCCGTTACGACAAAGCCCTCCAATCTTACGAACATGCTTCCATCAAAGTAGCAACATCGTTAGCTCTCCTCAACTCTGGACAGAACCTCATTTTTTCGAGCGCTCTTACTGCCATGATGTTCTTAGCCGCAGATGGTGTGGCTACCGGGTCCTTAACCGTGGGCGATTTGGTCATGGTGAACCAGCTTGTGTTTCAGCTTTCAGTGCCTTTGAACTTCTTAGGTTCAGTGTACCGTGAACTTCGCCAGAGTCTCCTGGATATGGAGACGCTTTTCAACCTGCAAAAGGTCAACGTGGCCGTCAAGGAACCGAAAGATGTTAAACCTTTACTTCTCACTGGTGGTGAGATTCGATTTGAAAATGTCAAATTCGGCTATCGACCAGACAGGCCGATTTTGAAGAATCTGAGTTTTACGATACCGGCTGGGAAGAAAGTCGCCATCGTTGGCCCAAGCGGTTGTGGAAAGTCGACCATTTTGCGCCTTCTTTTCAGATCGTACGATGTCCAGGAAGGCCGAATTCTAATCGATGGTCAAGACATTCGCGATGTTAGCCTCGAAAGCTTGAGGAAGGCAATTGGTGTAGTGCCCCAGGACACTCCCCTCTTCAATAACACGATTGAACACAACATAAAATATGGCAATATGGAAGCCAGTGCGGAAGAAGTTAGGGCTGCTGCAAAAAAGGCGCACATACATCAAAGCATACAACAATTCCCTGATGGGTACGATACCATGGTCGGAGAAAGGGGGATGATGATATCAGGTAATTAGCACGCACCTCCCGAGGATTTCGATTGCTAAACTAAACAGGGGGCGAGAAGCAACGCCTAGCGGTTTCCCGACTGATCCTCAAGGATCCTCCCCTGCTTTTTTTTGACGAAGCTGTATGTATATTGATATGCCTACCGCAGATGCCTATCTGACTGACTCTCGGATAGACTTCTGCCCTTGACACCTACACCGAACAGAATCTCCTGGCGCATATCAATAGCATTCTCAAGGAAAAGAGCCGGACTTCGGTGTTCGTCGCCCACCGCTTGCGTACCATTTATGACAGCGATCTCATCATAGTCCTCCAATCCGGCGAAGTGGCCGAAAGTGGTACGCACGAGAAGCTAATAGACCGTGCTGGAGTCTATTCAGAACTATGGAGTGGTAAGTCATCGCTGATTTCCCTGCCCTAGCTTTTCGTTGTCAGAACTATGCTAACTGCTGAAAAAGCACAAGAGACGTCGCTTGATAGCAGCAGTGACGAGACCAATTATTCAGGAGAGGGGTCTAGATAGCAGTTGTAATAACTATATCGCGATCGAGATATTGAAGAATATATGTCCACATGTCTTATTTTAGGAATAAAAATGCTCTTCATGACGCTAGAACTGGGGCGCTACTACTTACCTTTCTCTACACGTGATGCCATACGCGAGGCCGTACGTGAGCTCGTACCTGAGGTTATACGTGATGCGGCACGGCTATACAGCCTCTACGGCGCATCCTTCCCGATTCCTTTAGCCGTATGTACTTCGTAGTATACATAAGGCCATAAAGTCTTGGACCCCACGCCGAGCCAGACCCCTAATCGAGCCACCCCCGCCTAGCGTATTGGTGGCGTACAGGGGATCATTGAATGAGTGAATTGGAATCAAATTTCATATGTAAATACATTAAAAGTCATTGCCAGCTCCTTCCAGGCAAGCTTTACAAGGCCTACTTGCCTCGTAGCGCTGCAGCTCTCTCCTTTGCATCCAATTTTTCCCGTTCCTTTGTCTCTTGGTCCATCATCTGCCTACGAGCTTCCTTAACCATAAGCTACCGAGCATTACTAAAGTGCTTCTTTATCTTATTCTTACAGACCTTCTTCTGCTTCTATATAAGATTCTTATTTAGAACCTAAAAAGCAGCTCTATCTATATAGGCAGTTAGAGTTATCTCTCTAATATTAGAGAGATTAGGAAGACTAAAATTATATATAATATCTTAAGGGCGTTAGTACTAGTACACCCCCTAATTAGTAGCCGCACACCCCCTTTCTAGTAAACGTACAACCCCCCCTCCCGTCTAATCCTCTGATTGGCTCGGAGCACTCCTCCGAGGCCTCCGATTCGCTCGCTTAACTCGCTCACTAATTCCAAATGCTCTCTCCAAATGCGGCGTGGCCACAAGCAATCACATCCTCATCCTCCACCTCCACAATACACCCCCTTCACCTCTCACCATGGCCCTCCTGCCGCCACGGCTAGACTACTACGCTACGGCAGAGGAAGCGCATATTGCTCTGCAAGCGCACGCCTCAGCGCAGGGCTACGGCTTGGTGAAATACCGCAGCAAACCGGACAAGACTAAGGCAAAAGTGATTCAAAAGGTATGGTACCGATTAGGATAGCCAGGAGGGGGCGGCGGCGATGTAGGGGGGCCAGGTTTGATGCGGAGGAGCCGTAATAAGGTGAGGTTTTAATTGTTTTGGCATGCTCCTAGGCACGTAGGCACGTAGGTAGCAATATAACAGCCTATATATACTTCAGGAAACGGAAAGAATGCACGATAAAACGGGTAGGCTGCACAGCCTACGTATAGCTATATATATAGCCTATATACGTACGGCCTTACTTACGCACAGCTGTATATAGAATACAGGAAACGGATAGAATATATAATAAAATAGAGAGTTTATACAGCCTTATATACGGCTACGCCTACGGCACGGAGGCCTTAGAGAAGTACTTTAAGCCAATTAGAGGATTAGATAGAAGGGGGGGTATACGTTTACTAGAAAGGGGGTGTGCGGCTACTAATTAAAGGGTGTACTAGTACTAACGCCCTATTTTAAAGCTTTTTAAAAAGCTAGTTAATTTTTTTTAATTTAGCCTTACTTCCTATAATAAACTTAAAGCTCTATTTATAAATTATAGCTATACGAACTAAGGAACAGGCTATATCTATAGCCTAACTTTCTATACTTTTAATAAATAGTAAAATCTTCTTAACGTTTAGTATATAATCTTAACCGGCTAACTAAATTTAAATAAAAATAATTTACTTAGAAAATAAAAGTTCTTTATAACTTAATAAGCTATAGAAAAGCTATATATTAGCGGAATAGATTTTATAAGTTTTAAAGTATTTAAGTAATAATTACTAAACCCTTTAATATTTTTTACTTACTTACTATATAATATAAGCTATAAAAGAATAAAAAATAGTATATAATAAAGTATTAGAAATAGTTATTTTAATAGAAATATATTAAATTTAACCTAGTATTATAATATAAGTAAAAGTTGCTATAAGTATAGAATCTAACCGTACTCCGCTCTATACTACTTTCTAATATAAGCTTTTATTCCCTTTTCTTCTCTTTTTTTTACGCCTTTAAAAGGGGTATATATATATAGTTAATTACGCGTATACCTTTATACTAACCCCGAACCTTACTAAATACCCGGAATTAGTATAGCCCTAAAACCTAAAACCCCTAAACCTGGATAAATTTAGAAGAATATATTAAAATAGCTTACTTTATAATAAAGCTTATAAAGCTGCTATATAATTCTAGTAAATATATATAATAACTATAAACGTATAGCGTTATATACTATAGAAAGCAAGGTTTTTATCCGAATACTATAAGGCAGCAAACGGTTTTCCCTTATAAATAAGCCTAAATAGCGCAGCTATATAAACTTTAATAGGATTTATAATAGCTTAATAGAATAAAATAATAATAAAATAATAATAATAATAAGTATAGAATAAATAATATATATATAAAAAGACTACTAATTATATACCCTTTAATTTATAAACGTATACCCCCTTTTTTTAGCGCTTTACTACCTTCTAATTAGCTTAAAAAGCCTAGAGCTTTCTTTAGGTATTTACCTTTACGTTTTTCTATATATAATACTATACGCGAGGCCGTATATAATACTATATATAAGGCCGTACGTAAGCTTATATATAAAGCTATATATAAGCTTATATATAAGGCCGTATATAATACTATATATAAGGCTATATATAATACTATATATAAAGCCGTATATAAGCTTATATATAAGGCTATATAAATTAGTATAATATAATTACTTATATTATATATAGCCGTAATTAAGAACACGATGCAATCGACCCCACAGCATCTTGGAAATACAACCCAAGGAGGGCCCCTAGGGGCTATCCAAGGCCCTGCGAACAATTGTACGCAGCCTCAAAGCCCTACGAGTAGTGCCGGCGGCGTCGCGGTAGGTACACCGCGAATTGCGACCCCTAACGCGCAGCCGCCCCAGCAACAGCATCAACAACAACAACAACAACGCCAAAACCAACACCAAAACCCGAAGCCCATCAAGAACGTCCACCAGGACGTCCAAGACCTCGTCAACGAAGCACACGGCATACAAGACCTCCTGCGGAATAAGCCAATCCAATCCCTCGAGATAAATGCGATTGTCCAAACCCTCTACAACTTTGCAGGACGCGTCCTGTTCGGCCTCTCGGATACCGCGAACGACCTACGGCAGACACCATGGAAAAAGCTGATAAAGATGATGGAGGACACGAAAAAGGAGGTACACGCGTTGTCAACGCACAGGAAGACGTATGCCGCAGCAGCAGCAGCAGCAGGCACAACACTATTAGCTATGCTAAGCGGCATAGCTGCGCAATACAGGAAGGCAGCAGGAAATGGGCAGTATGCAGGGCAACCTATAAATATCTATAAAATCACCATCTATATTAAGGATAACAACGAGCGAACTATAACTGCAGTAGATATAAATATAACTATTACCTAGAAGCTTTAAGCAGCCGGACCACCGGATATAATAAAAATTAGCGGTATAAAAAAGCTATAGAGTGGAGACGTTAAGGTATATATTGCGGATAAGGCTATAAAAAAAGCACTACTTAAGAAAAGGGAATAGGTATAGGTGCTAGGTAAAACAGTATATATATAACTGCCTATAGTGCTAATAGAGGTGTATAAAGTACCTAAGAACTTAAACCTAAAAAGCTAAATACTTAAAAATAATATTATTAGAGCTAACGCGATAATTAACCTAGGCCTAGTTATTAAGAAAATAATATAAAAGAATAAAAAGGGTATTAAAGCTGCGCGAGAGGACCTAGGCCGATACACTAGCTTAATTATTACTAGTATGCGTATAAAAGTAATAGTAGATAAAGCTATTATAAAAAGATTTATAATAAGTAGATAATTACTAATAGCCTTAAAATATAAAGCAGGCTTTATAGCTATATAGTGCTTTAGATACTAGAGCTATAGGTATATTATAAAATACTATAAAAAGAACATCTAATATATAGTATATATAGGGGAATATAATATAAAATAATATATAGCAATAGATACTAAAAAGTGCACTAACTATAAAAAAAACTACCCGGTATATAGTGCCGAATATAGTATAAAAAAAGGGGCCTAGCTATAGGCTATATTAAAAAGGTAGGTAATACTATACTAATATAATACTAATAAAGGGCCGAGCTTATATACGCGCTAGGCCCCGCTAGGGGTATATATAACTTTAACCTAGTTTAGGAAGAAAAAAGCTGCTAATAATAATATATATAAAGGTAGTATAGAACTAAGGCCAGCGCTAACAGCACTAAAAAAAGTAGGACAACCGAAGATATTTAAGTATCCTAATAAGAACCTAAGCTAGCCGAAAATTAACAGAATAATATAGACTGCTTATTTAACGTAGTAATCTTCCTATTTAATACCTTTTTAGATACTATATACTTGTAACGGGTCGTTTCTTCTATACCTTCTAAGTGTCTTACACTAAGGCAGGGTATAGGCAAGTCGTTGTCGGGGTGCAATAGTCTTTAAAAGGTGAGGCAATAATCAATTAAGGTTTAAGACGGGGTTGTTACTTCCAATAGGTAATATTAAAGTCTTGAGTTGAACACGAGGTTCCTATCTATGCAAAGGAGCGTCCCTTTATATGAAAGCTCCGTCCTAAGAAACCTCTTGCTCGTATGGCTCGTGGCCTCGAGCCCCTCGAGCTGCTCTCCTAGCTCGCAGCCTCGAGCCCCTCGAGCTGCTCTCCTAGCTCGCAGCCTCGAGCCTCTCGAGCCATCACGTGACCCTGTCCTCGTGATGTCCTATTCTTAGATCGTTCCCATCCACCAGCAGTCCGTGGGGGAATCCAGGATCCCTATGCGTCCTACACGTGACCCTCTTGGTCCCGTGACTTGGTTCTGTGTTATTAGTCTTATCTGCTTGCTTGTCTCTGCGAGTGCCTCTGCGCTTGGGTTGTTTATATTACGGGTTGTAACACTCGCTCCCCCTTCCAAGGCTTTCGGCCCGAAAGTATTTCCGTGGTGGGGTCTCGGATAAGTAGCTGGCGATGCCCCATCTGTTGGGC